AAAAACCTTTTAAGGGGGATTTCTATGCACATCATCTAAATATTATATATTTACATATCAAATACTTAAAATTAGAAATATCAATAAATGATCAGATTTGACAATTTGACTCGAACCCAACTTAAAAATTTGAGTTTTGGTTGACCCCTGTAATATATGAGTTTGATTTGAGTTCGGAATTCTAATCCGTTTAATTGCCCAATCAAATTCGAGTTGATTAGGGAAACTAATTTGACTTCATTGTGACTTGTTTATTATTATTTTTTTACCTTAAATATTTAGCTTCTTTTATGTTCTTATTTTTTATTAATTAATCTAAACTCTATAATTGAAATGTTACAATTTTTTTCAATCAAAATGAATTAATGGAATCAATTTCAAGTCATTAGGGTTATCAACGGGTTCGAATTAAGTCAACCCTTTATGACTCATTTATTAAACGATTAACATTCTAATCAATTTTCAATAGAACCTAAATCAAATCCGACTTATTAATCTATTTTGACATCCCTAAATTAAATCTTTATATTTTTTTACCTAACATCTAAAATTTTAAAACATAATAAAATATCACTAATGTGTTTGTTAAAGCGATATATATATATATATATATATATATATATAGGAAGACCTGCATTTTAACGTTAGTTTAACGCCGTTTATGAAACTGTGCCGATCCATATTAACGTTCGAATTGATGCGAAATGACGTAAATCTCCCCACTATTTTGTCCTTATTGCGATGAGGACACCTTGGAATGTTGTAGCTGCGTCCTTTCAGTGAAGTTCCCACGCTTGAGAACGGCCATTTCCTGCTTCAAACGTCGTCAATGGCACTGTACTTCTCCCAGCGCATATAAAAAACGTTCGAATTGATGCGAAATGACGTAAATCTCCCCACTATTTTGTCCTTATTGCGATGAGGACACCTTGGAATGTTGTAGCTGCGTCCTTTCAGTGAAGTTCCCACGCTTGAGAACGGCCATTTCCTGCTTCAAACGTCGTCAATGGCACTGTACTTCTCCCAGCGCATATAAAATGTGCGTAGGCCATTCTCTTCTCCTCTCACGGCTGCCGAGCTCATCTTCTGAAAGAATCAAGAGGAGTCCCTTTGAAAGGAGGGAAATTTTTGCAGAGAGGAGAGCCGCTGTGAGGGGGAGTTTTGGTTCCGTCGATCAATCGATCGAAGGGAAGCTCAGAGGAATTGATGCGTTCAGTTCTTTGTTCCCGCCGACTATCCAATCAAAGCTTTCGTTGCTCATTTCTTCGATTTGCTTCCCCTGAGGTGAGAATCTGTCTTCAACCAGGCTTCTTTGATGTTAATCAGGAAATGGCTGCCGTGTTTTTGGTTCTTTGCATGCTTTGCTTGTTTCAAATGTTGTTGTGGTGTTTAATAGTCTGAAGGCTAAATCGTTTGGATTTCTTGATGATCTTTTAGGTTTTGGGAAGAGTGAGGTTTCCAGTGGGATTTTTCGACAGATCTCGTGGGATGATGCGGTTTGAAGGAATTTGATGGTTTCTTACGGTTTGAAGAGCTCTAGCGAGTGTCGATCTCGTCCCTTTTTTTAGTGGGATAGGATTGTTGCTTGTGGTTTTCTAGCTTGTAAGGAAGATGTCGTCTGCAGGAATCGCAGTTAGCCACTATAGGGTGGATCAGGTTCTCTCCCCAGTCCGGACTGAACGCAGTTACTTGGACGAATTCGTCCTGATCTACCTTACCTTCCCAGGCTCACCGGCGATGCCAATGAGAGTTCTTGAGTCTGACTCAATTGCCTCTGTCAAGCTTCGGATCCAGAGCTCCAAAGGATTTGCTGTCAAGAACCAGAAGCTGGTCTTTGATGGCAGGGAGCTGACCCGGAATGATTGGCTTGTCCGCGACTATGGTTTGTCTGATGGCAATGTCATTCATCTTTTAATCCGTCCTTCTGATCTCCGATTAATCGCTGTAACTACTGCCTGCGGCAAGAAATTTGAGCTCCAGGTTGAGCAGAATCGGAATGTTGCGTACATTAAGGATCAGATTGCCAATAAGGGTAAAGATTTTGCGGATATTAGAAATCAGAAGCTTGTATGTGATGGAGAGGAGCTTGATGATCGCCTGCTGATCAATGACATCTGCAAGAATAATGATTCTGTCATCAAGTTGTCGATCCGTAAGAGGAAGAAAGATGATGATTCGAATAAAGTTACGGGAAAACCATTTGACAGACAGTCTTGGATTGCGCCAGTTATTGTAAACCCTAAGGTCAAGCTATCTCCGATCCTAGAGGAAATGATGAGTGCCGTGGATGTTGGGCTAGAGAAGAGAATCAAGCCAGTCATGTCTTCAGAAGGTTCAGGTGGAGTTTACTTCATGAAGGAAGGTTCAGGTTGCAAGAATGTGGCCGTCTTCAAGCCAATTGACGAGGAGCCAATGGCCGAGAACAATCCTCGTGGACTCCCATTGTCTCGAGATGGTGAAGGGCTCAAAAAGGGGACACGTGTGGGGGAAGGTGCATTGAGGGAAGTTGCAGCTTACATCCTTGATCATCCAGCGAGTGGTCGCCGGAGTTTTCTCTCCGATGAACCTGGATTTTCCGGGGTTCCCCCGACAGCCATGGTCCAATGCTTGCGCGGTTTTGACGATGCTTTTGAACCAAAGGATTTCAAGATGGGATCACTGCAAATGTTTGTTAAGAACTGTGGAAGCTGTGAAGATCTTGGTCCTCGGGCATTTCCCGTTGAAGAAGTTCACAAGATAGCTGTTCTGGATCTAAGGCTCGTTAATGCCGATCGCCATGCTGGGAACATTTTGTTGTGCAGGGAGGGAGAAGCCGGCAAAATCATGCTGGTTCCTATTGACCATGGATACTGCTTACCTGAGCATGTAAGTGTTCAAAATTCTGTTTTTTTTGTTCCATTTTTCAAGCTTTGATGAGTAAGATATTGTATTGATATTTTTCTGACATGAAAATTACAGTTTGAAGATTGCACATTCGACTGGCTCTTCTGGCCCCAAGCTCGGCAGCCATTTGATTCCAGAACCTTGGATTACATAAAAACCCTAGATGCAGAAAAGGATCTGGCCCTCCTCAAGTTCTATGGCTGGGAGCCATCACTGGAGTGCTCTCGAACTTTTCTCATCTCTACCATGCTATTGAAGAAAGGAGCAGAAAGGAGGCTCACTCCCTATGAAATTGGGAACATCTTGTGTAGAGAGACAATCAATAAGCAATCCAAGATTGAAGAAATGATCTTCAAAGCCATGGATTCCGTCCTTCCAGGCTCCACTGAAGCTGCTTTCCTGGAAAAAATTTCAGAGATTATGGATCATTATCTCGACAAACTTACATCAGCTTAATATATATATAGAACAAGTAAATAATGATAGTGGAAGAAGGGGCTTGCACTTGATTTTGCTGGAGGAAGCCCTCTCTGCTTTTTGTTCATAGATAGATGGTCTGTCCTGACACACCCATTCAGAAACTGGTATGGGAGGTCGCTGAGATGATATTCTAAGGCTAATGCAGTGATCAGTTGTGCTATTTTTGCAGCTCTGTAGGTATTTGTTACATGATTGGGGTAGAAATCAAGCTCCCCAATGTTGGTGTATTCTTTATTGTTGGTTGATTCTCAACTGTCTATTTGTCTTCTTCTTCAGATTCATATCAGGGATGTTGAAAGTAAAACCTTAGTCCTTTGATTTGAATTTAGAGTTGTACTGATGGTGTTTTTGTTATGATCAGTGGTTGAATCAGAGGATGTTTGAGGTAGCTTTTGTCTCCTTTAGATTTAAGAAAAGCTGTGTATAATTTGGTAATTTTGTTTTCTGAATTCTCTTTCAATCATGTATATCCTTCTTAAATTTGAGTAAATATTTTCACCTCCTTAATTGAAATCCTAATTCTGCCACTGATTCTGATGTCAAAACTGCATAATTTGTAGCTATACTCATATTGATTTAGGCTTCGTTTGGGACGGCTATTGCTTTCTAAAACTGAGTTTTAATACAAAAATAAAAAAAAATTTGTACTAAAACTCCGTTTTAGAAAGCAATAAAAAAGCCGTCTCAAACGAACCCTTAGTCTTCGTTTGAGATAGCTTTCTTGCTACTTTCTAAAGTAATTTTTTAGCACAAAAATTTTTTAAGAAAAAATTGCTTTAGTAAGTAATAAGAAAGTTGTTCCAAATAAAGCTGACTAGAACGTGTGTGCTTGCATACTCCTATACTCTGATTGAACACAACGTTTTAAAATAGAGCAAGATTTCATTTGAGACAGCTTTCTTATTACTTTTAGTACAAAAATTTTTTGAACTATAAATTTTTATATTAGAAAGTAGTAAAAACTACCTCGTACGAAGACTAATTCTTCTTCTGCACAATCTTAAAATTCAGCACGAGGCATGCAAGAGAAGTATGCTGTAGAAAAGATGTAGGATCAATATACATTGTCTAATGTGGATATTTTTTATGGAGAAGCCATTGATGAGGATTATGGTTTGGATTTGCTTAAGTGGTTGGAGCGAGAGTAGGGATAGAGGAGGACAATGAAGCTGAACTAGGTTGTGGAGGTGGGAAGAGGTAGTGATGGTGCTACTATGTGAAGAGCACTAAGGAGATCTAAATCTACATTTCATGAACTAACAAAGTGAAGGAAAACAGTAGCTCACAACAAAGCTCATTTGGGGAGCCATCGACGGGATTAGGTGAAAGAAAAATGAGCTCCTGTCGGGGGAGCTCAGTAGGGGTCAGGCATCGATAGGACCAACAATATGAGTGTGGGAGCATCCATCGTCAAGACTATCACAAACTCCTCTTATGGTAGAATCATTATGTGCCATCATCAGTCCCCGTCCAGATATGAGTCAGGGCGCTCCATGTTATTGTTTTGCTGTGTAGCAGTGTTGTGTATCGCTGTGTGTGCTTATGAGGACAACAAAAATTCGAACAATGGTTCAAAATAATTCAATTCAATTCAATTTTAAATAACTTACAAATCCAATGAAAAGCCTAATAGAAAAGATTTTCGCTCATTATGGGTGATTTTATCCAAAATAAACTTTCAAGCATATTTTTATGCATAAAAACATAAAATATATATATATTTATCCAAATAGATGCATCATAAAGTCAAAATTGACTTCATAACAAATTTGATTTTTTAAGGCATAAAATCAATTTTCTCTTTATTATTTTAACTAACGGCCTTCACTTTTTCTTACTGTAAAATAATTTTTTTTATAATCATAAATTTGCTCTTGTTTATCCTTCTTTATTTAAAGCCTTATTTTGAAATGGTAAGATCTCCCAGAGTTTATAGCTTCCTTTGGTCACTGCTCACACTATTGAAGATCCTGTGAATAGAAAGGCGTTATTTGCCGTATTCTGTTTTGAAAAACTTTTCACACAAGCCAAAATGTGTGTATAATTTATGTATTATTATATCATATTATTTAATATATATTTTGTAAATTATTAAGTAAAATAATTATTAAAATATTTATTATTATTGTTTTGTTTTTTTTTTTTAATTTAGAAAATGAGATCGTTCATTTGCACTTTTATATGCATAATATTAAATTATAATAAAAAAGAATGTTTTATTTTATTATATATTTTTGCCATTCAAATAAGTTACAACATTAATCATTGATCTAATTCTAAATAATTTTAATTGAATAAATACATTATTTATTAAAGTATTATAATTATTAATAATTTTAATTTATTATTTATTTTTCCCTTTTATAATAATCTCATACATAATTAATATGCAATATTTTTAAAATTATTATACAACACTAAAGATTTAAAATAAAATTATCTTTTATGTTTTGCATGAAATCAATTTTATTTTATGTAATGAAACTTTGTAGTGAGTCTTTTTTTTCTCTCTTTGAATTCTCTAAATTTGCTCTGATTTTTCAATTTTTTTTAAAAGAGACTTTTTTTGAAAAGTTAAGATTTCTAAACGTTTAGAACCCTCTTTTGTTGAAGCAAAAGATTTTAATGGATAAAAAAATAGTTATTTATAAATTGGTGAGTCAAAAGGTGTAAAATTAAGGGTTTGATCTTTGATTTATAAACTATTATAATATATTATTATCTGTAAAAATTTGTAAAAATATTTTGTGCATAACAATACATAACTTAATTTATGTAATTGCAAAAACAACCTAAAAATTTGCATTTTTGGGCTCTATGATGCATATGGGATTTATTTATTATAAATTTATCCTTCGTAGAGCCTTTATATTAACACTAAGCTATTTGTCCCTGCTTTCACGTCTCCAAACATAGTTGTAATTTAGTGGATTTAGTCTTGTTTGCTTTTGTTAAATGTTTGGTCTTCTTTCATTGAAGAGGTTTTAAAACACAGTGCTTCTCCTTTCTGATTTGGAAAGCATTTGACTGTTGGGAATTGAAGTAATAGAGGATTTAAGGAACTTTTTCTTCTAAAGTTTTGGCTCAATTATAGTTTTTTATTTATTTTTTTTCTTTTTGCCTTGTACGCTTAGGAAACCTAATTTTGATTATTGTGCTAACATATTTTTGGTGTTAGAGAGAGAATTTTATCATTTTAGTATTGAAAAAAAGATTTTCAGCCACACATACGAGTCGAGAATGGCACCAAAGGGATGAGATATTCTTAATTAGAAAACTCAAAAAAGAGCATAGGGTTTAGCTTAGTTGAAACAATTCTATTAATTTAAGTTGTGTATTACAATGGATGTCATTTTCCGTTGCTGAAGAAGATATTAATACAATGTAGTAGACCGGAATTGTAGAAAGATGATATCTTGAGATAGAAGAGTTGTCAAATGGCGATGATTTGCGATGGCCTGAGGTGAAGACTGAGAGATCGAGAAGATGAGTGTTGGACATCACTTTGTTATATGCGTCGAGCATTTGTCAATTAGAGAAGTTTGAGGTTGAGTGAATGTTGATGGCTATTGACGGAAGTTTGAGTGGTATAACTCCATTTCTCTCCTCTCCTGAGGAGAGGAGATTGAGCAACTATGAAGGCTTGCATTAGACGTTCGTGACTCGCATATGTATGACATCATTTTTGGGTAGATGTTAGATTACAATGATGATGAATTTTGAAGGTCGAATAATATTGAAAAGTCTAACTTGATCATTTTCTTTATAGGAAAGGAGATTGAACAACTAAGAAAGCTTGCGTCAAACGTTAGTGCTTGACAGAAGTCAAGCATCACTCTTAGATATATATCCAGTGATTATTGACATGGAATGTTGGTGGTCAAGCAACATCATATAGTCTAACTTGATCATTCTCCTAATAAGTGGAGATTGAATAATTGGAATGGATTATGTTAAATTTCAGTAGCTGATGGATGTCAGATGTTACTCTTTATATATTAAGCGATGATCAACGAGGAATGCAAGATTGGCCTTCTAACTCGATCATTATTCTTTAAAGTGGAGAGATCAAACAACTGCAAAGACTTGCATCTAATGTTGTAGTTGACAAACAGCAAACATCACTTTTTAATATTCATCAGGTAATCACCAATGATGAACTTCGGAGGTTGGACAATGTTAGACAATGTTAAACAATGATATAGAGAAGGAGACTAGATAATCGAAGAACAAATGAGGTTACTCTTCAAAACTAAATTGTTAAAAACAATTATAAGAATTCAAGAAAATATAGCACAAGTCAAGAAAGAGGTAGAAATATATGCTATCGATTGTGATAGAAATTTCCCTCCATTGATGTGCCAATTAAAAGAGCATAAATAAATATTCAATGATGGAAAGAGAAATTATCCCCAATGAAGTTTTCAATAATTCATGGGCTTCAAAAGAGATGTCATCAACATGCTTTGCGTACCACAAAGCGCATTCAATGAAGTCACTCTTTAGATTCAGAACATTGAAGGAAATGATGAGCATGAATAAAGAAAAAGGAATAATCTATGCAACAAAACATAACAAAAATTATGTCCACTAAAGTGCAACTTAGAAGAACACAAAGGGTTGTCATTGAGAGAGAAACTTTCTAATGGAGCCTTAGTATTATTTTAAATTGGCTCACAAAGGGTGGTTGTCATTTGGCCTAAGGTTCCTTAAAGTGACAAATGATTTTTAAATTTCCTTCACTTTTTTTATTTAATAAACTATTCTTTTTTGCATGTTGCCATTCAATTATAAAATTATGTAATTTTTATATGATCATTTATCCACGCATTCACACTCTCACAACTGTCATTCCTATTCTCATTCTTTTCTCTATTTGTAGTTGAAAACCTCTCCTCTCTCCACCCTCTTCATCTTTTTCTCCCATAGCCACCATCAAAGAAGGTCCTCAGCTTTCATTCTTCTTTGACTGAAGGTCGCAACAATGAAATTCCTCCTTCATAAGTCTCATTATTATTTTTTGTCTCATTTATTTTCTATTCCTTACTTTAATGAAATGCAATATATGTTTATCTGCTTGAAATATGTGATTATGAGGAGATCTGATGTGTAGTGGAATTTTCTTTTTGCTACTAAATGCATAGGGAGTCATAAGGGCATGAATATTTGAATATCTAATACGTGTTAAGCATTGAGAGTTAAAAGAGCTTATTTTCTAATATGCTAATACATACAGTCATTAGGGTCTATTTCTGATGAGAGATATAAGGGTCTGAGAGAAATATGTTATTTTCTATCCTGATATATATAATATTTTTTTATTTACTTTCCCAGCATTGTTATTTAAAATTTTGGTAACTACAAGCATTTTTCAATTATATATAATAAATAATTATTAACTATTTTTAACTTTAGTTTAATGCTTAATAAATGAATCATTTAAAATTTAGATTGATAGGTGTAACTTGCCGAGCTGTGTTGGCTCACACCTA